AAGTCTAGAATACAGAAAATTATCCACTAAAGGGGGTAAGGGTGGTGATGAGCCTGGAATAGGTAAACATTGAAAGAGTTAAATGTAGAACCCAGAAAGAAAAAAAGCAAAGAACCTTAGTTGTTAGATGTAAGGAAGAATTGACATAGTCCTTTGGCAGTTATAGCAAATTAGAGCCAGTACCACCTGCTTGGAAAAACTGAGAAGTGCAAAAGTATCATAAATAATACGTAAACCGCAGAAACTTTATCTTGTTTTATTATTGCTGTATAGATGTAGGTGCATATACATAATCTTGTAATAGATGTAGTTAGACAGCAAAGACACGTCTCCACATAAATTGGTGTAGAAAGGACAGCAGAAAATGTATGCAAGAGTCCCTGGTTCATTCTAATTGCAGTGACAGTATCTTTCAGTGTATGGAGTCTAAATTTCCATCTAGTAGTAAGACACTGAAACAAGCCAAAGCAAAGTTTCTACGGTGTGGTGGGAAAATAAGGCTGAATAAATACAGTAGTTTGTGAATATAAAAGGTTTCCAAACTGAAAGTTGGTTGGAACACCCAGATCTATCTGCTGTATGATATCAAAGACAGATTTCACCTTTAGAGTGAAAGGGGCGTTGGTTCTTACCTGATACGCTTCTTTTCATGGAGCTGTCGAGAGCGTCCAGGTTGGGAGGAGCTCCAGTCTCGGCTCTCACAGGCTGAGCTTGAAATTGAGGAACGCCCCTCACCATCACATGGTCCTCGGGCGCTCCCCAGGTTTTTGCGCAGACGAGAAGGAAGGTCCTGTTCTCATCACACTCAGGAAAAAAATATATTAGATTGCTCGGTCGAACAGCAAGGTTTCCCACCAGACGGCCTACGGGTGGGGCTGGACGCTCTCGACAGCTCCATGAAAAGAAGCGTATCAGGTAAGAACCCACGCCCCTTTTCCATAGAGCTGTCTCGAGCGTCCAGGTTGGGACATACCAAAGCTTGGCTAGTCCTGCGGGTGGGCCCCCGTCTGGTATAGAATCTCTCCTGGAACCCTGATGACCCGCTGGAAGGCATGCCCAACAGGAGAACCCCCTGGAGATTGGAATGTCTCAACAAGGGGGCCTAAAGAGGAGGCGGAGCTGTCCAGAAGGCAGTCCCGCCAAGGAGGCCAACAGATGTGTACTGGAACCGTGATTCAAGAGACTGGGAAGATCGACCCGTGTTGGGAATTCCCCTGGGAGAACCCTAGGACAGAGAGGTGGAGGGGAGACGCAGAGGAGCCCTAAAACTAGAGACCGGGGGAACACGGCAATGGACTACCTCCATGACCCGGGGAACCAATTGCCTGGACGTAGCGAGTTCCCAAACAGCGGCCTGTCCTGGGGGGAGCCAGATTCGGTTCCGCCCAACGGCGAGGCGGACGACTTTGCTCAAGGACCCAGCTGGCCGAGGGCCGCCTTGTCTAGGGATAAAAGTAGTAGTGAAGGCTAGAGATCTGTGTGAGGACCGGGAGCGCAAGGAGAAACCCCAGCTAGCATTGGATGGGGGTAGATGTGTTGCCGACCAGTTGCCCAGGGCAGGGTGAAGAGGACAAGAGTGCTCCTGGGGTAGGAGCCTGTTGCAAGCAGGGGTTAAAGGTCGGAGTAGAGATTGGCCTTCTCGCACTCCTTCCTCTCTCCTTTTTTTTTTTTTTTTTTAAAGGCAAGCGTCTGGGGACGACTGCATTATCGGGAACGACGGAACGAGCCTCTCCCGGATCCCCGGGAGGGCTTCCTGGAAGAGTTACCTCCGGACCCATCCGGCTCCGATCGGTAGGGAGATCTGTAGGGAGAGGATCGGTAGTATCTGGAAAAGGAGGAGGAACGGGAAGAACCCTGGCGAGGAGAGGGAGAGGAACCTCTGAAGTCAGACCTCCTAGAAAGGGAAGGGAGGTACTTGCGCTTGTTCCGGGTCTCGGCCAGGAATGGGTCGAGAACCGGTCCAAATAGCTTCCCCCCAGAGATGGGGGCTGATGCTAGCTTAGCCTTGTTTTTAACGTCCGCTTGCCAGTGGCGGAGCCAGAGTAGACGGCGGGCGGTGACCTGGGACGAGATGGCCCTGGTGGAAAACTTTGCCGCCTGGAAGGTGGCGTCTGACGAAAACTCGGCCGCGGCCAGGATCTTGGCAATGTCCTGGTGCGCCCTGAGATTGGCTGCGGGAACATGCTGCTTGAGCTGCTGGAGCCACTTGATGGAAGACCTGGTGAAAAAAGACGCGGCAATGGAAGCCCTGACTGCCCAGGCGTCAGAGAGGTGAGCGCGGCACAGGGCCAGTTCAGCTCGTTTGTCCTCGGGCTGGAGAGCCTCGAGTGAGTCGCTGGGAGTAGAGTGGGAAGCCAGGCCTACCACGGGCTCGTCCACGGGGAGGGGATCGAGCAAGGTGGAGAACTGCGGTTCCAGGTTAAAAAACCGCTTGTCCTGGGCATTGGGGGGAGGAGGGGGCCCCGAGGAGGCCAACTGCCTAGAGACCATGTCTGAGAATATGGGCGGGACAGGGATCACCTCAGTTTCCACCACGGGCTGAGAGAAAAGAGAATCGGGAGGAACCCCTGCCGCTGCTGGGTTGGGTGGGGGAGGGGGGTTCAGGCCCGAGGTAGTCCTGGCTTTGAACAGGAGGGACCTAAATAGGTGCGGTTTAAAGAGCCCTAAAAACGCGGGCTGGCCTGGAGAGAGGCCCTCGTCCTCCGACATGTCCCCCTCTAGAGGGCCTGTTCCCGAAAAGAGTTCGCTGCCTATGAGGGACCCCATGTCGAGGTCCTGCTCGTCCCCAAAGAGGGTAGGGTCCCCGGGTTCTTGGGCCTCCATCCCCTCCATCTCCAAAGGTAAGGTTAAGTCCCCTTGGGGAGTTGCCTGACCATGCGAGGCCGCTGATCCTAGGGCCTCGGGGGCCGCAGGCCGAGGAGCCAGACCAGCCAACTGCTGCATCTGTTGCGCTACCCTTTGCCGGATGGCCAGCTCCATAGCCTGCATCAGGTTTTCGGGTATTTCCACCATGGGGGGTGGGTGAAACTCCTCCGGGTGCGGATCTACAGCAGTGGTGGGCAAGGTGACCTCAGGGGCCTGTCCAGGCTGTGAGGAAGAAGCAGAAGCAGGAGAGGAGGGGAGAGGAGGATGGGTGGAGGTTGATGGAGCGGAAGGGTCCCGGGACACAGAGCTTGACTCGTGAGAGCGTCTGTCAATCTCCCTTTCGAGGGCCCTGTGTCGCCTGAGGGCATCCCTTTGGGAAGCTTTGGATGGTTCCTGTGCCTGTTTGCGCAGGTGGTGGGATTTAGCCTTGGCCTTCAGAGAAGTGCCACGAGAGGTATTGTCGTCTGCTATCTGGAGAGGAGAGAAAAAAGGGGAAAAAAAATTTTTTTTTGGTTAATGCGAGGCGGTTAGCGGGTCTGGGTATGGCCTAAGCAGAGGCTGGAACTCCCAGTGCTCGTATCGCACCCCCTTTTTGTCAAGGCAACAGAGTTGTTCTGCAACGTGTTGGGAAGTAGGGCCTAGCCCGGGGGCCAGTCAGCCAGAATAAACGCCAAGCTGTCCCTGCCGGGCGAACCGGGGAAGGGACATGGCAAGCAACTAACTCCTTTGTTGGGGAGAGAGTATGAGCCAGAGACCAAGGCAGGATTGCAAGGTATTTGAGCAGTCCCCGGATCTGCCCAGGAGTCAGGGAAACAATGCGGCCTACTGGTAGGCCTCTGACAAGAGCCAATGACCCTGGGGCCGCAGGCAGAAGGAAATAATGTAAGCTGTAACCAGGTCTGGATGCGGCCTACGTGGAGGCCGGGAATCCCAGCGCACGTTCCGCGCCCTTTTAGTCAAAAAAAATTTTCTGTTTAAAAAAAGAGGTTTGGTACGAACCAGGGCCTAGCCCAGAGACCAATCAGCCAAAAGGTGAACGCCAGGCAGCTACCCCTGCCGGACGGACCGGGGAAGGGGTGGGGGGGGGGCAGAGCTGCTACCTCGCCTGCTGGGGAAAAGGCTGCAGGGCCAACGGGCCCTATTTCTGCAGGAGGCCTGTCAGTAGAATGAAAGACAGGCTGAGACGTGGGAGTCCCAGGCTGCCTAATGATCAGTTAAGGCTGCGGCCTGTAAAAGGGCCTCTAGTAATGGCTGACGGCCATGCGGCCACTCACAAGATGGCGGCCGTTCCAGGGCACACCCAAGATGGCGGACGCCACAGGGGGCCCAAGATGGAGGCCGCAAGTAACGGAGGCAGCCCCAGCGGCAGTAAACTCCCAAGGAAAAAAGGAGAAATAGACCCTTTGGGAGAACCAGGGAAGCGTTCCCTGGGCTAGATGGCGTTCGCGGGGGGGAACGGCGGCTAAAGCGAGTAGAGGCAGGCAGAAACGAAGCGGCCTCGCGCGGAGCGATTAGGTGGCAAACGAAGCGGTGGGGGGGGGCAGCGCTCGAAGCGCTCGTTTTCTCCCCTTAAGGAAACGGTTCGGATATTAAAAACACTCCCTGGGGAGTTCAAACCTGAGTTCCTGCGCTGCCTGCTGGTGATCCACGTAGAAAGCGATGAGAAGAAGGCCTAGAATGCTGAACTACCGGAGCAAGAGAAAAACAGCCTGTCTGCCACGAGGCTGAGCAAAAAACTGGGGAGCGCCCGAGGACCATGTGATGGTGAGGGGCGTTCCTCAATTTCAAGCTCAGCCTGTGAGAGCCGAGACTGGAGCTCCTCCCAACCTGGACACTCGAGACAGCTCTATGGAAAATCACCTCTCGGTTGAGAGATTAAACTGAGTAGTAGCAGAGAATAGATAAAAAGGCAGTCATGTCACCAACAATCATATTATTTATTTGCAGAAATTCAAAAAGTGTCATGCTAAGACACATCTTTCACTTAACTGAAAATGAAGCATGTCCGTTGCATCAGAAGTGGAAGAGCTATTTTTAATTTTATTGAAATAAGCACAGTCAATCTATCTTACAATCAATCTTATTCTAATATTTACATAAAGTTATTCTAATATTTGCACATCCTGCAATCTTACCTCAGTGAACGGGTCAATTCATCAGGTTTTGCAGGTTGTGAAAAACTAAATTTCCGAGGGTATTTTTGATCACTAGCCTTGGATCCATTTTCCATGCGCTTGCTCACAGCTGAAGTAGGAAGACCAGTAATATATTGTTAGGGGCTGATGATTGATTAGTAAACTATTAAACATACACAACACAATACAAATTGTGCCTTTTCATGAATAAATTTCAGTAAGTTGAATGGGATATTCTCCCAAGTTAAGTTTAAGATTTGAATACCAATAATTGAGCATCAGTTTTTTTAAATATAGAAAAAATGTAGATGGATCCTGTACTACAGGCACTCTAAAAATGGAAATGACTAGTTTTCCTCAGCCACCACCTATCTTCTCACAAAGAGAAGGGCTTTCTAAGAAATTTGTAGTGCAAAATGGTATAATATTAATCCAAAATTAAAACTATACTCCTTGCTTGGAATAAATGTTTGGAATAGATCAGAGTCAGGAACACAGCATCTGTACGCACAATCAGATATATGATACCAATAGAAGATAATCAGCAACCACCATTTTATTTTTTTAAAAGCTCTCAAAATAGCCAAAATGTCACAATACAGCCAAGTGTTAGAAGTTCTCTGTGTACCATGAGGTTTTGTGAGACTACAGATATTCTATTTTTTTCCCAGTTGTATTTTTTGCTTCTGTGCATAAAAAGAAGTACCAGAAAAAAGGCAGAGGAATCACCAGAAAACTATGGGAGTAATATATTTAACTTTAGCCTACAAAATTGTACAGCATTTCATGTATGCTCTGAAGCAATTTCACTTCAAATTCAAAATTCTGCACAGCCCTGTCCCATAATTGAACTAGTGTATCATTCTAGACTTGTCCCCTTGAATTAATAAGTGTGATAAATTAATAGACCCATCTGGGTAAATAGTTGTGATTTGTCTCATGAAAAAGTACAATAAGAGCAAACAAACAAACAAAAAACAACGAAAGACACAGCACCTCAACGAACTATAAAATGGGCTCCAAACAGTAACTTTGAGAGGGATCTTGGAGTCTTAGTGGACAACAAGTAAAATATGAGCTAGTTGTGTGCAGCAGCAGCCAAAAATCCTAAGCTGCATTAACAGAGGGATACAATTGAGATCAAGTGAGGTACTGATACCACTCTATAAAGCCTTAGTAAGACCACACCTAGAGTACTGCATCCAGTTTGGTCAACACATTATAAAAAAGATGTTGAGACACTAGAAAAAGTACAGAGAACAACAACCAGGATGATTAGGGGACTGGAGACTAAAACATATGAAGAACGGTTACAGGAACTGGGCATGGCTAGTCTAGTGAAGAGAAGGACCCCCCCGGTGGTCCTTCTCAGTAGGGTCTTAACAGTCTTCCAATATTTGAGGGGCTGCCACAGAGAGGAGAGGGTCAAGCTATTTTCTAAAGCGCCTGTAGGCCAGACAAGGAATAATGGATGGAAACTGAACAAGGAGAGATTTAACCTAGAAATAAAGAGAAACTTTCTGTCAGTGAGAACAATCAACCAATGGAACAGCTTGCCCTCAGAAGTTGTGGGAGCGTCATCACTTGAGACTTTCAAGAAGAGACTGGACCACCATTTGTCAGAAATGGTGCAAGGTCTCCTGCTTGGGTGGGGGGAGGTTGGACTAGATGACCTACAAGGTCCCTTCCAATTCTGATTATCTGTTATTATTAACATTGGGAAACACCTAATAAAAGCTGACAATCTATCAGCGAAATTCAGCTGATTCACCTCTTTTCTGGACTACTGTAGACACTACTCTTGAATAGGGATCATGGCATACAGAAGGTTCCTGAAAGGCTGCTGAGTGAAACTAAGCAACATAAGCAAATTGTTGCTAAGGATCTATTTTCCCTGGACTTTGTTAGGGACTGCCTGCACTGGAACCCAAAATAGAGTTCCAGATGTAATTCAAAGGGCTGTTTTTAACTTTCAGTTTCTTTATGGTTTGGAACAGAAGCCTGCCTCATGGTGGACCTTTTGTCTAGTCTTGAGAAACATTTTGGGATTTTGGCTGAAATTCAGTGACAGGGTTTCATGGATAGAGTCCACTAAGTTCATGGACTCGGACAAAGCCTAGTTTTACTGGCCTATCTTGGAAGGAAGGATGTCCTCTCCTTGCAGCCCCAGAGATTTCTAAATTTCCAAATTTCAGAGGAAAGAAGAAGAAAAAATCCACTCAAATGATACAGGATTCCACCCACCATTACAAATGTGTTTGCTCTGTGACCAATTTAAATGGGAACTGTAGAATATACTGTAATGGGTGATTGAAAAATTCTAACTTAATGTAATATCTAAGAAGTTCATCAATTTAAGTAGTATTTATCCATGTTTCATGTATCACACCCAAATGATAGCACAATTTTAAGCAGGAAATAGAGGATATGACATTCAGCAGAAAAGCAAAGACCCAGTAGAAATTAGGTCAGGGCTTGAACGAAAGCTATGTTCTTCAAACAGCAACTGGATACACTTGTCTAGTTAAAAAAGCTGAAACTTGTTTAGATAAAACACATTTTATCAACTGTTTTCTTAATCAGTTTATTTTAAGGGAACAAAAAAGGCCAATTGCTTTTTCACAACATACTGAATTTGAAAATAAGTGTCAGGCAGAGAAGCACTTGAATTAATTTAAATCGGAATGGCTTAAAGAAGTCAATATAAGAACAAACTTTAAAAAGAACAGCCTACAATGTCATCTAATCACATAAATTTATAAGCTTAGTTAGATAGCTTTGCCAGAATAATATTTGGACAAGAGGAGAGACAAAACCCAACAGCATGTAATTAGTACATGACAAACAAGTTTGAAAAACAACTTTTGCATTAAAGCATTGTACCCAAATTGAGAACTTCTAGGAATTAATGAGATCTCATTGCAACATGGTGCTCGTATTGAAAAAGAATTATTTTTTTATATAGGAGAGAAATGAAAAACAGGCAAACGATTAATTGCTGCATTTTACATTGACTGTTACCACAGGAACAGCAGAGCATGAAATAAGATAACAGTTGAAGCTCATTGTTTTTGTATATATCCAAGTACTTGTATGGAACCTTTTGTTCAGAGTTTCATACCTGACAAAGCATCTGCTGTCCGTTTTCGCACAAAGGGAGTTACTGGTTTAACCTTTGTGACACTGGGTTTGGCTTCATTACTTTCTAAGAATTGTCTCTGATACAAAACCATATTCTTGACATTACCTTGAACAGGAAAAAATAGTACAAAGTTAAGTTCACAGCTAACAATTTGTTTACTATGTGCTTATATTATTAAGAGAAAATAAGATGGGTAAATAAACAGGAATTATGCTGACAACTTTGTGATATCAATCCAAAGACTTTACCAAACAGGAAACAGATATTGTTGTATGCTTGTTGTATACTTTTAACAATTCCCCTATGTAGGACAGAAATGTTAAGAACAAAATAACCATTCTGTAAATCTTTCAGTTTCAGCTGGATAATAGTCGACGGAGATGATTTTACCTCCGTTGATTTGGATCAAGATGTAGTTAACTTTAATAAGGTAACTATAAAATTATCACTATAGAAGAACTGTGTTTATGGTGGCAAAATATCAGAAGTCTGATAGCACCTTTTCCAACTAAAAAAAATCCATTAAAAGCTATAACACTTATCAAGTTTCTACCATAGTCAGGGATATATAACTAAAGACTATAGTAAGGTTAAAATAAAAAATGTTAATTGTATTATATGACCAGAGATTGACTCAAGAGTAGAGATGTCTTAAATATACTTACCTTCAAATTCTCCTTGATCTGATAATGGTAGGCTACTCTTTAGTTTACAAAACCTGGCTTTTGAACAAACCTTTTCTTTGAGATCCCATAACCTCAATTTTATGCTGTGTTCCCTTAGCTTTATTAGAAACTCATTGGTAATATTAATTTCAATGCTGTGGTTCCATGAAATCCATATCTGGTCATTTTCAAGCCATGGTTTCACTACCTATTTAAAAAACATAAATAATACTACTGAAATAATACATTATCAATAATATTTTCCTGGTCACAATTAAAAAAATATGATTTCAGAGCACTAGAGAAAGACAAATCAGTGAATTATTAAACATATCTTTTCTCCCATCTCACCATCAGCTGAAAGACATAAAATTATGACACACACGTATAAAGAATCTTATTAAAAGTAATAATGGCTAAAACCTTTTAGGCTCAATCCAAATACATTCAGTGTGATCAAAACTTTAAATTTAGGCAGATTTCCCTAACAGTATAAGTAAACTTAATATAGACAGAGAAACATTTTAGCCAGCACATTACACCTCAAGGCTGTTACTAACTACTCTGACTGGCAGTAGCTCTCCTATATAGTACTGGAAAATTCCTTTTACTTGCAAAAGCCCAAGGTTGAACCCAAGACTTGTATGTTCAAATGATGTTCTCTCTTCATTGAACAGTAGTCCTTTCCCACAAAATGAAATATAAGCTGGATATTATAAAGAAATCTCTTTTGTCTGATGTACAGTTAGTCCTTAGCTCATGACCACAATTGAGCCCAAAATTTATGTTACTACGCAAGACAATTGAGTTTTGCCCCGTTTTATGTCCTTTCTTAAGTGAATCAACTGCAGTTGTTTAAGTTAGTGACATGGCTGTTTAAGTGAATTGGCTTCCCTATTGAGTTTGCTTATCAGAAGTTTGCGAAAGGTAATCACTCAACCCTAGGCACCGCAACCATCATAAATACATGCCAATTAACAAGCATCTGAATTTTGATCACGTGACAATGGGGATGGTGCAACAGTCCTAAGTGTGAAAAATGGTCATAAGTCACTTTTTTCAGTGCCATTGTAATTTTGAATGGTCACTAAATGAACTGCTGTAAGTTGAGGACTACCTGTACGTCATGCAGGAGGGAGTTTTAAAAAAAGAGCAAATCAAAAGCTGTAGTTGACTTAACATCTCAGATGCAAAAATAAAAAGTCAGACAGCAAAAGCACTTACACTTATATACCGCTTCACAGTGCTTTGCAGCGCTCTCTTAAGCAGTTTACAGAGTCAGCATATTGTCCCCAACAATCTGGGTCCTCAATTTACTGACCTTGAAAGGATGAAAGGCTAAGTCAACCCTGAGCTGGTCAGGATCAAACTTCTGGCAAATGGCAGAATTAGCCTGCTATATTGCATTCTAACCACGGCACTACCATGGCTCTTCATTTGGTGCTACAAAATGCTCCATGTTAAGCTTGGGGTGCATGTACCTCCTTTAATATAGGAACATGGAGGAATTCTCCCCAGATCTTAATGTTCAGGCAAAAACACTCAGAAGGACAATCCTTCAAGTACTGAAGACCTCAACCTTTGACTGAATCACAATTGGACTATCAAACCTTTACAATATACACATACATACAGACATACAGACATACACACACGCACATATGGATTTCTTTGAGGGTCTGATCAGTATTGTAATTCTCCTCCGCGAGCCGGCTTGGGGGAAGGGGAAAATGGGACAGATACCTCCAGCAGCACTCTACCAGCCAAAATGGGGCCTGGGGTGCATGTGGCTCCCCTGTACCCAGTTTTTGGCCTGGACAGCTTCCTGCAGCACCCTGCCAGCAAAACAACCCTAACCCTCACACCCCTTGCACCCCATTTTGGCCAGCAGAGGCACTACAGGCCGGTCCTTTGCTATTTCCAGGCTGGCCCCACATGCCAGATTTAAGCAACCCGCAGGCCGGATCTGGCCCATGAGCCTTGAGTTTCACACCCGATATAAGGCTTCCTTATTCTCTGCAATACATTTATTCATCTAGTCTTCTTGAAGAAAAATATTGTTGGAAAACATAGCAGACAGAAGTCTGTATCTGGTACAAAGACTCACCAATAGGTACCATAATAAAAGTAAATTAAGACATCATTAAAAATGTAAGAGTTAACAAGTGATGACCATTATATATACTGCTTTTTTGTCCCTCACGTCACTGAGTTTCTAGACTAAAATTATTTGAAATATAGACTACACTCATCATGTGTACTTATTCAACTTTAGCACCCATAAAAATATCACTACATAAAATTATTGGATCAAAGCATACCTGATGTCAGGTTGAAATCCCACAGTAACTTTCTAGCATATCACAATGCATGAGCACAGAAAAATAAAATTAATGTCATCCATCCTAGGTTTCGTACATTACTTATTGTCATTCGTTCCCCAGAATCTTATCTGCACTTACTGAAATGTTCAGCGTGGATGGCTTTTTAGATTTGCTTCGTTCATCTTTTGGAGTCCCTGGCTATCAAAATGACAACAAAAGAAAGAAAGGAAAGGAGGAAAAAGCTATGATAAAGAAAGCAGACTAATGAAAAATTCAAAATAGACTATTTCAATTCTATACATTTCAGAAGCCTCTGATCTATTAATTAATCCTATTTTTTGAATATTTTAAATTAATATTTTAACTATTAAAATAATACTATGTAATGCTAGATTTTATAGCACTTTAAGTTAGAACCATTGATTCTAGAAAAACTTGTGCAGGCAAACAAGAAGTTAAAATCCTCAAGAACTACATGTATCACCAAAACACGCTATCAACTTACAATTCTCCTTTGCCAACAACCTTCTATTTTGTCATCTAAGCTCAATTGCAAATGTGTGTATAACACAGTAAGTCAATTTACGCAGGGCATGTAACTGCAGATTACAATAAAGGTTGCAGATAAGACCAAAAGTAATTATCCCAATAAGAAACTAGAGTTTGTATTTAGCTCACTTAGTTTGATGTGCCTTCTGAAAGTAAACTAACCACAGGCACTACCATTTTTAGAGGCAAATAATGGAAGGTGCACCATATATGAACACTGTGAGTTATGTATTTCCATCTAACATCAGGATACCTATGAAAGGATAGGATTTGTATATCACCACATGCATGTTTTTTCATCATCGCAACTAGAAGCAGATATTCTTCAGTTTACAGGGGTCTAAATGAAACATTCAGAAACCAACCCACACGCTCAGAGAACGAACCTTCACCTTTATCCTACACCCAAGCTACAGATATTCATCACTATTGCAATTGGTCAGTTTGTTGGAAAATATAGGTGGGTTCCATCTTTGGATAAAAAGAGAAGTATTTTAGATTATGTCCAACTAGCATTCTTGGTCATTGCAGATGGAGCTGTCTTGCAAAGGATATGCTACAATATTCCCAGAGTGGATTATTGTAATATAATCCACTCCATAATAGCATTCCTTGTGTCTCAGTGCAGCTCAAAAACTGCAAACTTCTCTATTTTACAATCTTCAATAAAGGGAGATGATTTGTTATAAACTACATTAATCATGGTTTCTTCTGGTTAAGGCTAATGACATAGCTGTCCCTCTTATGAAAGGTGCCATGATACAAGACTGGGAGTGGTATCTTGCCTCTCAAATTCATCCATTAATTGTGCAAGGAAACACAACTATCCTTTTCCTTTGTGTAAGAGACAAACATCTCTTCATCTCACTAATATACTTTTGAAGCATATCCAAATGCTCACATCTATCTTATGCTGAGTGCCATACTCTTGGGTCCAGACTGACGATATAAAGGCTGATCCTTTGCGCTCAATGGAACTTGGAAACAGACTTTGGACAATGATCAGGAAACTGGCCTTAGGACCATTTTGTCCTGGTGGAACATGCAGAGATTCTTCAATCCTCCAAACTATGGTAGCTTTCTTAAAAATATTAGTGTCAGAATTCCAGCGATCGCCCTAATAAAATAATGAGCCTCAAGCCAAACTTCAAAAAACTTCAAAGGATTTATTAGGAGTGACATATTGGCATGATCTGTATGAAGCCTACTCTGAGATACATAATTTACAATCACCTATGACCCTGTTTCCCCCCCACCCCTCTGGGTGTATCATAATTCAGATTGTCCAATGGAACACATCATGGGTTGGGTGTCATCAATCACGCTCTCCAATAGAGGATTTTCATGCCCAGAATACCCGGTTGCCTCAGTTACAATCTTTGGGAGATAAGCTTGGAATGTGCTTCTGAATTCATTTGCCGTATGCTCTTTCAGGGTTCCTCCTCCTCTTATGGCAACTTGGAACGTTTAGCAAGTTGAGAGTTAGAGGTAATATGTGCAATGAGCTCAAGAGGAACAACCACTAATATCCTAAGTAACAAAGACGACGAAAATGGTGAAACAAAAGTATACTAAATAATTGGTGTACATGAGGAAGCTCTGTAAGTGGTGCCTCTTAATCATATACAAGAATAGACCCTAAAATAACTCCCCGTTAAAGACATAGCTTAATAGTTCAGGGACCCTTGCTACTAGTACTAGTACCAGTGCTACTAGTTTCTGTCTTTTGTACCATTACAAGTAGTCCTCGACTTACAACAGTTCATTGTCAGAGTATATTCATGAACTGGAATAGAGCATGGTAACAAGGTCAGCCAATGAATAGGCATAGCAACTAAATCAGCCAATGAGGATAGTTTGGAAACTGAAACTAAAAGTAGTCTAGGCGTGGCTCTATGTTAAGCTCTGCAACTCTGCAGCTATGTTGAGCTCTGAGTCTGTCTACTGAAGATGAAACTAACTTGCTTGCTTGCTAAAGACTGGAGCTCTGCTCTGAACTTGCAACATGTTTCTGTTTGAGTTTGCTCCATGTTGGAGAAATCTACAGCTGGTTTGTAAAATCTACTTACATTTATGAAGGTGTTAAATGAAGCATCAGCCATCTGTCTTTATTTTTCTGGCACTGAATTATTGCTGCAAAACTCTCAATATTCATTTAGTGACCATTCGAAGATAAAATGGCACTGGAAAAAGTGACTTATAACCGTTTTTCCCACTAACAACCGCTGTAACATCCCCATGGTCACATGATCAAAATTCAGACGTTTGGGGAACTGACTCACATATATGATCTTTGCAGTGTCCTGGGGTCACGTGATCATTTTTTTGCATCCTTCTGATAAGCAAAGTCAATGGGGAAACCAGATTTCTTTAATAACTGCAACGGTTTACTTATCAACCGTGTCAAGAAAAATACTAAAATGCAGCAAAAGTCAGTTAAAAAATGTTTCACTTGGCAATAAAAAACTGGGACTCAATTGTGGTTGTAACTCGAGGACTACCTATATGAAAATAACTCCAAGTCATTTCAGTGATGTTCATTTGTCCTGTCAAATGTGGTTTTAGAGCCTGATTCAGAATGTTGAGAGGTTTCAGAAGATGCCATAGTCGCTCCTGTCTCATCTCTATTAAGAGTATCACAGCATGCTGGGTCAGGATGACATGATAAGAATCATCCATGTCTTAAGCACTTTACCTGGTGCATCCTTTGGAAAGCACTGTAAAATGCAGAAAGGCATACAGAAGTCATTCTAACCACAGTGCCACCAAGCATAATCCCTTCTGTTCTGTTGGAATCTAAAGAAGCGTTTCATCTTTTTGCTATTCCACTCTCAGAAACAGGTATAAAGAAGGGCATCCTCATCTTACAAAAAAATCTCCAAATGCAAACGCCTTTCTTCCTATACAAAATATTAGCAATTTAGCCAATGTCTCTCATGGTTATTTTCTATAGAGGACATTGTGTTAAGCAGATCATCTAGATAGGATAAAACATGACTTTCCACCCTCTGGGTTCTTAAATGGTTCATAAGCTCATCTTTACTTTAGCTGCTTGTGTTAGGTGTAAAGCGGGTGCTTTGAACTGAAACCAAATTCTCTTGAATGTAAACCAGAAGAATCTGCATGGGTTTCTGGGTAAGATAAGACAGCCTCTTCATTCTAAAGGTTCAACATCTGTTTAATTTACTCCATTCGGATATTCAGAATGATTTTCTAATCTCTAGTTTTCTTTGATATAGACCACATTCTGTCAAGCTTTAATTCTATATCCTTTATCATATTCTTCTTAATAACCTGGTAGAACACCTGGCATAAAAGGTAAGAAAACATAGAGGTCTGGTTTAACTTTCAACTACTGAATTTCATTTCTCGAATACTTAATAAGATTGGTGATATAAAACTGGAATGCAGTACTTCCAAACTTCAGGAATATATTGATATATTTAAGTAATAGCAAAATAAATAAATAGTTTATCTTTTTTTTTTACCCTAGATTCTGTATCCAGAAATAATTTAGCCACTGGACCAAACAATACCAAATCTAATTTTCGAGGTTCAATATCATTTGGTAGAAGAAAATACTCCATGTGATAAAAACGATGCATTTTTGGAATAAATCCTTCTTTTCCTTTAGATCCAGATCTCTGTATCTCTGCTTTAGAGGGCTGCAAAGGTTTATTCGCTGAAAATAAATATATAAAATAGAAAACAAAACAGGGAGAACAAAAATGAGAGTGTTGCTGTTAGAATTGTTTTGTTCTAATAAGAATCTCTAGGATTGGCATTTTACCTATTAAAGTATAATCTTAACATATTTGCTTTGGCCTAACTGAATTAATCTGCATAGCTTATATTCCAAAGCCACAAATACTGTAAAGAAAATACAATAGTAATTAGTTATCTCATAGCTTTAATTAAATGTTTGTAAATTTACCCATACATACTACATAAAATTACTAAAACATATTAAATAAACATCTAGCCTCCATTCCTCCTTCCGAACAGCAATCTGTACTAATATTAGATGCTGAACAGGCAGCTCAACGGTCATCTCACTTTTTCAAGAAATAGCTGTAAAATCCCTAGGATGTGCTGCATTCGGTATAGCTATAGATATAGCTGGACAGTTATTTCCACAAACAAATATTTAATATATCAGACATCAGCAATTGTGAAACAGCCAACGCAGCATGTGACATTTATCCATATCTACTGTACCACTCTCATCTATATCAGTGTTTACATGAAGTTACAACTGTGCTGAAACAGAATCAATACAATTTTCACATTTTTACATCCCAAAGATCAGCAATGAATGGGATTTACATTAACTTGATATAGTAGAGTGTTATTTAAATACAATGACAAAAACATGTAAGATCTTTTCTATGTTCAGTCTCCTATGCAGTACTCTGTAAACCCCGTATGACATGTTCAAAAGAAAAATAACTTACAATGCCATTTACCTACTTGGAAGAGTAAGTGGAACAGCCAATGAAACCGAGAATGTGCAGGTAACCAGATGCTGAAAATTAAGTTCTTGGCTTCTCATTGAGTGAACAGATGCTAAATGTTCATCTTCAGGAGTGGGATGACCTCCGCCACCACCGCCGCCAGCCAAAATTTCTGGACTTTCGGTTATATAGCTACTGCCTGAATATTGTGTTTCGTTGAAATCTGCCTCAGGTGTCACTTCCTCCTCATTTTCTCCCTCAGGGTCTAGCTGTTTACTTGCCATCCTGGGACAAAACCCAATTATTAATATTTCTAATTTCTTCTGATCTGTGCTTTTCTTTCTAAAATTAATTATTCTAAAATAAAGTAAACAACCTTGTCAGAGTATATTCATTAACTGGCAGAGACATGGTTAACGAAGTCAGCGAGTGAGTAAAAATAGCAAGACCAGCCAATGGGAGCTGACAGCCTGGGTGTGGTTTGGCTCTGTGTGCTCTGCTGCAAATTGAAACTGAAACTAGACTTGCTTAAACTGATAAGCTTAAACTGTGAGCTGCTGCTTATTTTTGCTTATGTTACATTGAAAGAATCTACAAATGGTAATTGTAAACTTTACTCATATTATTATGTTTATAAAGAAGTTCATAATTGTCCAGAATCAGTCATCTGTGTGTTTTCTGGACTTCAATTTCTGCTGCAAACAAACCTATACTTTACTAAAACTCTCCACAAAGAGAAATTGGAAAAACTTTCTTTATATGTCCCTTTCCAACAAACACACAACCCATTGTAACATAACCAGAATATTGATTTATTCTGGGTCTGAATCATCCTTGAACAAGATGAAGTTGTTCCACACATATAATACGAACATAATTTTAAAATAGCAAAGTGGTTTTTTCCTCTGGTTGCAAAGCAATCATTGTTGGTTTGTATCTTAAGCTCACATCACACAAATCAGGTAAAGAAAAAATTATTTCTTTGCAAATTCCTTCTCAGGTTTATGGCCAAGTTTACTAGAAGACATTCAGCCACTGGGAAACAGTGGGAAACCTATAGACACTTTTAGATTAAGCCTGGCTACTCTTATCACAGAAGGTAAGGAGAGCAGACTCATTCAAGATTAAGTCTGCAAAGTTGCAGGGACTTGGCATAAAAGAACACCTTGATGAGCTACAGTAGATAGCTTGAAAACCACTTTGAGACAGAGGCTAATGCTGAAAAGAAAATTTAATGCATACATTTAAGACTTGGTTGGCAATCCTGAGATAGAATAGAATAGAATTCTTTATTAGCCAAGCGTGGTTGAACACACAAGGAATTTGTCTTGGTACAAATACTCTAAGATACATTTGTCAAGAGTCAAGAATCATAAAGTACAACACTTAATGATAGTCATAGGGTACAATAAGCAATCAAATCATACTAGGAAACAGTCAATATAGATCGTAAGGATATAAGCGACACAGTTACAGTCATACAGTCACAAGTGGGAGGGGATGGGTGATAAGGAGTGATGAGAAGATTAACAGAACAGTAATGCATTTGTTGAACAGTGTTGAGGGAATTATTTGTTTAGCAGAGTGATGGCTTTCGGGGAAAAACTGTTCTTGTGTCTAGTTGTTCTGGTGTGCAATGCTCTATAGCAGGCTTGTCCAACCCGCGGCCCACGGGCCACATGCGGCCCAGGTCGCCTCATAATGCGGCCCAGTGCCCAGCCCAACCTTCGTGCCAGAGCCAGCAAGGAGGAAGAGAGGCAGGTGCGTGGCGGGGCGAGCGCCAGGCCAAGCAGCAACAGAAAAGGCGGGCACCGTCAGAGCGCCACCTCCTGCTGTTGCCGCCGCTGCCACTTCTGCCCCCGCTGCCACTTCTGCCCCTGCCCCCGCTTCTTCCGCCACCGCTGCTGCTTCTGCCCCCGCTGCCCCCACCGCTTCTTCTCCCGCCGCCGCCGCTTCTGCCCCTGCCCCCGCTGCTGCTTCTGCCCCCGCCGCTGCTTCTGCCCCCGTCGCTGCCGCTTCTGCCCCCACCGCCACCCCCGCTTCTTCCCCTGCCCCCGCTGCTGCTTCTGCCCCCGCCGCCGCTTCTGCCCCCGCCACCGCTGCTGCTTCTGCCCCCACCGCTGCTTCTGCCTTCCAGTCCTGCCTCCTCCAGCCGGGCCATTTGAAGGAGGGTAGGCGCGAGGCGGGCGAGTTTTCTCCCCCCCCCCGCAAAATTTGGCAGGAAAATAAAACGTGATAAAAAAACCGTGATTAAAAAAAATAATTTTTAATAAATAATTAATAATAAATAATAAAAACATCTCACTAACTTCATTTCCAAATAAATTTAATATGTTAACTATGTTTTCTATGGTTTTTTTGGATGATCAGGTATCGTTACTGTTATTTTATTTTATGTGCGGCCCAAACCAAATTTTCATCTTCTAATGTGGCCCAAGGAAGGTGAAAGGTTGGACACCCCCGTGTTAAAGCAACTGGTCTATAGTCATTCAGTTCCTTGATGGAGGGCTTCTTTGGTACTGGGATGATAGTAGAGCATTTGAAGCAGGAAGGAACATAGAACATCTCTATTGAAGATTGATCTATTGAAGATTCGGGTGAAGATGGGGGCCAATTGGTCAGCACAGACTTTTAAGCAAGAAGGAGTTATCTTGTCTGACCCTGGTGCTTTTCCTGGCTTTTGTCTATGAAATAGATCTTGCACTTCTTTTTCTGTGATCACCAGAGGTTATGAACCCAATGGGTTGGGGCCAGTTGTAGGAGGCTTGGCTGTTGTTGATGTGCTTGAGATGGGGGTTGTGGAGATAGGTGGCTGTAGTTTCCTTTCAAACCTGCAGTAAAACACATCAGGTCATCTGCTAGTTGTTGATTTCCTTCTGCCTGGGAAGGTGGTTTGTTATAGCCAGTGATGTTTTTAAGAGTTTTCCACGTTTGCCGGTTAATTTGTTGAGAATTGATTCCTTAACTTTTCAGAGTAGCTTCTTTTTGCTGCTTTGATCTCTCTCGTTAATATGTTTCTGGTCTGATTGTATAGCATTCTGTCACCTTTTCTGAAGGATTCCTCTTTGGCACGACGTAGCTGCTTAAGTTTAGTTGTGAACCAAGGTTTATTGTTATTATATATTTGCAGGTTCCTTGTTGGTACACTTAAGTCTTCACAGAAGCTGACATATGATGTTACAGTATCTGTGAGCTCATCTAGGCCTGCAGAGGTATCTTCAAAACATTCCAGTCAGTGCTATCAAGGCAAGCCTGGAGCTTCAGATTTGCCTCATCAGCCCAAGTCCTCACCGATTTAATTTTTGGTTTCATGGTTTTAAATCTTGGTCTGTAGGGAGGTACAAGGTGAATCATGCAGTGGTCATGAGTAACCACGGGTAGGATTCTACCGGTTCTGTCCACCTCTGTAGAACCAGTAGTTCTGAAGAGCAGCAGACACAGAGCATACATAGAACCGGTTCTATGGTTGCTGCTGTTTTGGCCTACCGACCCACCCGGGCTCTTACCTGACTTTTATTTCCTGCTTTTTCAACTGCAGCTGCTTTGTGCAACACAGCTGCAGTTGAAAAAGCAGGAAAAAAGAGCTTTGCCAACTGCTGCGCACTTGCACACAGCACTGCTCAGCTGTCCGGGCAGCTCAGCAGGTTGTAAATTGCGCATGCGTGCAACACACAGCAACATAACTGGTAGTTATACCGGTCGGATCCCATCCCAGTGAGTAACTGTAAGTTATTCTTTCTTAATGCCACATATAGGCATGCCAGTTTTGATATATGCTTTGCATGGCAAGTTTTCTATCAGAACAAAATAAGGTGGCCAAAAGGTGCAAAGATAAGACAAAGGGACTTAGGATGAACTGATACCCATAATCAAGCAGTCCAAACCAACAATAGCAATGCATATAAACAAGCAAGTAAAAGCTACCATATGTTGTTACATTCAGTATTCAAGACGATGATTGGATAAAAGATTAAAAATATAGCTTTAACCACACAAATCCTATCCAGGGATTAGGAAATGAAACTTTTCATTTCAAATAATTTCTTAAAGCAAGAACAAGCAGATGCACATATGCCACACAGTTACAAACACGAACTTGGATTTCAACTGTGTGTTCAAGGAAGAAAATCATATTTTAATATGATAAAAAGCCGAGCTGTCATTAT